TGGGATGAGGATGCTGTTTGAAAATTAGTATTCGAGGTAAATAAAGCTGAATCAACTGCGTATAATGAGATATGTGAATTTATTAGTTCAGTAATGCCTGAGGTGAATATATTGTAGAGAATTGATGAATCGAAGTGAGAATTGAGTGCTTTTAGCAGCAATACCATACAATGAAAATATGTTAATTTTCACTTCGAATTCAGTCTCTAAGAGCATTACATTTGCTGATCTACATATTTTTTTAGGCCAAAGGTTCAAGTAAATTACCTCGCGATAATATTATTCCCATTTGTTGTTATTAGTTCATATTTGAACCATAAATTTCAAAAGTTGAAGACTCTATTTTACTGTTCATCATTATCGAACCGTACATCAAATCAGTACATCAGTTCAATCCCATTTAAATTCTTGAAAAGATATCTTTTAACTTGGGGGCCATATCAATGCTTCCAAAGTAAAAGATTCTATTTAGATACAGTAATTTCTAATGTAACTAATTAATCTGCAAGTGAACGTTTCTTAAGATATACTCGTGTAGCGTATTTTAACATTACAAGAGCAACTAGCTTTTTGAAATAAGTCATGAGGTCAGCGCATTTGAATGAAACGAAAATCCCTGTTGTGCTTGATATCCGTTGCGTCCGCTGGTCCCTCAGTCTCCGTTGCATCAGAGGTCGCATGTGGCTGTGCGAGCACAGATGCTTCGTGGGATGTCCCCGCGACCGCTTTCTCCGCGCAAAGGCCACTGGGGCCTTACGCAACCGGTCGCCCCCCGCCCCCCGCCCCGCCCCGCCTCGTCGCAGGTGGCTCTTCGCACCGGCGACAAACGAAGCCAACAACATAGATCTTCTCCGTTAAGTTTGCGTAAAAAGAATAACTTGATGTGTCTTGGGTGGCAACATAACTGTTCGCATCAGCCGACGCACTGTGATCAGTGTGAGAGTGCAAAATCCAATGATGGGGAGATACAGTGGTCACATTCTGCAAAAGCAGAAAAAGTCAGCGGGAATCAGGATATTTTAAGAAAAATCATTAGAAGGCAATGAAATGTTGGAGACAAATGAGATATTATCCGTTAAATCAATATTGATTAATAGAGGCACGAAGTGGGTTAGATTCGTGTTTCTGACTTTCTCACAAGTCGTTAGCGCGAGAGAATGATTGCCATGGAGAAAAATCATAGAAGATAAAGTTTTAATATCGATCCAAGTCTTGTTTTATGCAATATTTTCATTGTACACTGAAATAGTGAGCAAATTCTGCCTGGGAATAATATAGGAAAACGACCAGGGAAACTGAGAAAGTCTAAAAAAAAATGGGCCACACTTTTCTGATTGAAGCGAGAGCACCCGAGGCGACGGGAAGCGCTTCTTCCGAACGCTGTATCTCTTCGTCTGTGTAATACTTTGTAGCTTCCGGAGGGACACGGTGTGGGGTGCGTGTAATATGAGACCGAGGACCGGTGCGTAGATCGGCCACAAACAGTGATTGACTCAAATTCTGTAGTGATTTAACTGTGTGATTGGCTCTGAATTTGTGAGGAAAACTATATTGGACATATTTAGGGCAGTATTGATCGTGCTAAATATTTTATCGGTGATGAAGTCTGATTTTTGTTTCAGTGGCTGCCCTCAGCTAAAGTCTCTCTCTTTTTTGTGCACAGCTGTCTACAAAAGCTAACGCCATCTATTCGCTAAGAATTCGTCTCGTGCGACATGAAACTAGCGGTACCCCCCCCCCCCAAAAAAAAAAAGTGCCCGAGCTGCAAACAATTAAAATGATTTTGCAACGTGAAAAATATTATATTAAAATTGGAAAAGACGTCCATATATATGTAAACAAGATTCTTTTTTTCAAAAGTGGCTCCAAATTTGTATGTCATACATTCGAAAAAAAAATGGAGTTCGATTTACTAATTATCAATTTTAACTTGTATTTTCATTAAAATCTTGGATTTTTAAAAAATTTAATTCATTTTTATGGAGACGTCTGGGCACCTTAACTTACGAACGACCCTGAGCTGCAAGGTTAGTCTGACAGAAACAAACTTTCTCGAATTCAAATTTCATCCCGGAGAAGGGGCTCAGCCTCCAAGCCCTCCCGCATGCGCGGCGGGAGGGGGAGATTAATTTAACTCTTTTTCGTACGTACTTCATCTGCAAATATTTTATTGACTTGTTTTCTTTAATTTCATCGAAGTGTATTATTTCCAGTTGGTTTCAAGGAAACCTTTAAAAAGTAATATAGTGCTTAACGGTTAACAGGTGTTGTGTTATTTCCAAAAAATAACACTCGCCACGTGAGGAACAGATCACTCTTCAAAGATGTACGATCCCAACACTATTAGCCACTTCCGCTTCCTCCAGTTATTTAAGTTTCATTTTAAAGCTGCCTTTTGCACAATAAATGAACGTCTCGGACTGTTTCGTTCTCTTTTTTAGTTTGAACATCGATCTTCAATGTCAGCATGAACGTAAAAGTACACAAATTTAAAGACTTTCACGCCAACGTGATTTCTGAACAACACACTCACATTTTTGTTCGAGAGAAGTCCATGCACTTTGTAAAAGCATAAATCGCACTTCATCATTACTGATGAAATCACTCGTCCCCTCCTCATGTGATATAGAGGAGTTGCTCTAAGAAGGGACCACTTTGACACGTCGGGAAACAATGACATGAACGCCATGCAGAGCGATGACATTTCAAGAGTGATGAAGCCTTTTACAAATAATTTAGCTGTAAACGAACGCACCGACAAAACGACTGCATGAACATAACCTGCCATAACCATGTTGCTAGCAGTGGCCAAGCAGTAGCTGTAAAATGTGTCCCTTCTTATAGCGATCTCTCTATATAAAGAATCATGTTCATTCCAAACTGTTCACAGCCATTTAACGTACTGTCTGTCCGTAGATAGACAGTTACTTTGCGTGGAGAGCTGACGGGCGTGTCCGCGTGTGCGCAGGAAGGGCGGCGAGCGCGCGTCCGTCATGGAGCGGGAGCTGGCGGCCCGCGACCGCGTGGGCGTGCAGGACTTCGTGCTGCTCGAGGACTTCCGCAGCGAGCCCGCCTTCGTCGACAACCTGCGCAGGCGCTTCCGCGAGGACCTCATCTACACCTACATCGGCCAGGTGCTCGTCTCCGTCAACCCCTACAAGCCGCTGCCCATCTACACGGCCGAGGCCGTCAAGCAGTACCGCGGACTGCACTTCTACGAGGCCGCGCCGCACATGTGAGTACTTTGATTTTCCATCGAGCGGTCACAGCCTTTGCAGTGGGGGATTAATTTTCGGGGCTAGGCACCGAGAAATATATTTTTATTTAACATCACAAACAGTTAAAAAATGTATTTGACGTACTAGAGTATTCAGGGTGAGATGGGATATTGGAACTCAACATACCTCTCCAAGTAAATAGTTTTTGTAATTTTACTCCAATCGTTTAAAACATTCACTCTAATGGTCGCAATCGATGTCACTACTGTGCCTCTGACCGGGAGGTCCTAGATTCTAGTCCTGACAGTGGCAAGAGTTTCGACACTAGCCGGCTCCTCTGATCGGCAGTTTTCTGAGGTTTCTCCGATCAACACTAGGCTAATGCCGGAGCAGTACCGTAACAAACGGGCCACGGACCGCGCGCGTTCTTTCTTTCTTTCTTCTTCCTAGTAGTATCCTCATCCCCTTATACACTTACCATAACAAGCACTACACTGCCATACATGCCGGGAGACCGGTCAGGAGTTTAGAGCTTGGCCTGGGGCGGTGCTCCGCTGTTGGGAGATACGTGGTTGAGGGAAACCTCGCTTACCGACGGTAGGTCGGCGCCGGATTTCGCCACTCAGCGGGGGGGAAGATACCTGCCACCTCCCAGGAAAAACGTGCACTACTCTTACGGAAATAATGACCTTGGTAGTTAACGCGCCCGGAATCAATAACCGACCAACGAATCCAACGATCGAAACGCACAAAAATGAGCATTTCTGATACGAGTACAGTTTTTTTAAGCTAATAATTTTTAAATGCTTTTATCAATTTAAATTTTTTTTGGAGGGTCGAGTGTAAACTAGAATTGTCTCTCTACCTCCGAAGTAGTACTTCTAGATCGGACTCAACTAAAAAAGGTTTTCACACATAAAATTTTATTAAAGTGCTAAGCCTTAGAGCAGGGCTGTCGAACTTGCAATGCCTCATGGGCCACAACTAAAACCTTTAAAATGGTTAGGGTTCATATTTACATTACTCGGGCGATCCATACCTGACTTCCCCGTAATGTTGATCTCTGCAGTTAAGGTCTGCTCTGAAACAGGTGACGGAGGGTGAAACATGTGTTATCAGACTGTACCATTTATATCCCATGAAACTCATTGGGATTTTGAATTTCTGAAGTCACTAGAAAAAAATCCATAAATCTAAACAACCTTTTTTAACATTAAAAGGTCGATTGGCCTTGGCAGGGTACATGAAATATGAATGAAAGATACTTTCACTTTTCACTAATAACCTTTCGCGGGCTACAATAAACGGTACTGCGGATCGCCAGCTGGACAACCCTGCCCTAGATAGACCGTCACATCGAGTTTATTCTCGGAAATAATAAAAATATTTCAATCTTACTTCTTTATGCTGTGGCAAAGAATGTAGATGTCTCCGTACAACAGCGGCATTTGTTACACGCGCTACAATTCTCACAAAATACACCACTCGATGGGACGAGTATGTTAATAGAAGTATCTTGTTTTAACGACAATGTGGCATAGGACTATCTGGAGCTGAGCTCTTATAATATACATAATACATTAGTATTTATGTTTATTCATATAATATTTATGAAGTTAATTATGATGGCCAGAGAAGTTTAATTGTTGAACAAAATTTCAACAAAATACTTACATGCTATGAAATTCTCCAAGTGAATTGAAATCTCCAAACACTGAAAGTAAAAAACATATATAAGCAGTATTCGTAATTTATTTATTTCTTTATTTACAAAAATATTATGCAAGTCCTAATATTCATATACTACAAAGGAAAGTTTTTTTTTCTTCTTTTTTACAGATTGTAAGTCATGACATAATACAAACTTTCTTTATGAAATTCACTATTCTCAGTGAACATCGTAGGTGTACACTGGATATAAACAGACATAATGGACCGTAAATAATTCGCAAATGTAGCTCTGAAAAAAATTAAAGTTTTAAAGATTAAAAAAAAATATTTTTCAAATATCTCTAAGTACACCTGTGATTAATTTTGACAATGTTTACTTTAAATTGAATAAGGTTTTTATCGTACAATCCTGCAAGAAGTACATTTCCCATCTCACATATCTGTTTCAGTTGATAGGACCTTCCCTCGCTACACGAAAACGCGAACGTTATTTTTGGCCCCCCCAACCGTGTTTGGAGCTATAATTTCCAAACCTTCGCCAGTCCTGCGGGAAGTGTCGCTGACATGGGTCGAATGGGCTTCCACCTCCACCCCCCTCCGTTTTGCCCCGCGCCGCCTGAGAACCGGAAGCGCCCCCTTCCCCCACCTCGCTGCGCCACGCGGCTCTCGCCTGCCTTCCTCCGGAGTGAAATCTTAAATCGCTCGTAAAAGCACAACCACGTCGCCCTGTGTTGAAGCAGACGGAAAGTTGTTGACGCTACTTCTGTATCTGCCTGAAATAACGCGAGAAAGTAACGAAATCTGCCTGCCACAGCCTCTGGTACTCCGCGGCCAGTGCCAGCGTAGAGGATTGGTGTAATATGGTTAAATTTTGATATCCGTCGAATCTGCGCATCTAGCTTCAGAAACAAAATGCGTTGGATCAACATAACAATCTTCGATGCTTATGTAAAGGTTAAAATCAAAATCAAGTAATGTTTCATTTTCTTACGATAAATAAACTAGAACGTCAATGCTCGGTTTCATTATCTGCGAGAACATTAAAAAAAGTCCTCTTAACTGTAAGGAGTGGTAGTAATCGATGGATGTTAACTTCTGTCAAAGATGTTATTCGAAGTCGTTCGTTACAATGATCGTTTTATCAAGAGACACGTGTGTCCTTATCAGTTCGTGATCTTAATCTGTTATATCATGCGTGTAGATTCTTCCCACTTCTTACCGTAAATGTCGGACAACCTATGATCTCCACACAATAGTGTTACTCAAGAATACAGTCGTACCTGTCCTTTTGTTCTGTCATAAGTTGAATTATTACTTATTATTATTATTGTTAATTATTATATATTATTATTATTATTATTAAGTATTATTGTGGTTACTATGTATGGTACGACATTATTGTTCGGGAACAACGCTCAAAGCCGTGCTTCCCAAGTTAGAAATCTCAACAAATTCATCGTTAAGCGTCTTCATTATGGCATTTGTATTGAGATGGAATGATAAAGATGATAGTAGCTAGATGAGACTAAAATAGTAACGAGGATACAGATGGAGCGGTGGTGACTTGAGAGCCACAGGGAAACGGGAGAACTCTATGAAACCTGTCGCAAACCAACTCAATCCGACGCAAGAGAAATTCGTGACGGACAGACATCGAACCTCGGCCCCGGCGGTGGAAAGCTAGCGTCTCACCGCTGCCCCACGGATCGACCAGTTGCTGGTTTGATGGTTAGGAACGGTAGGTTTCGTATCCCCGAGCTCGAATCTCACCTCTCTTTTGCGGGTAAGAAGAAGAAAAGAAAGAAAGAAAAAAAAAAAAAAAAAAAAAAAAACCGCATAACCAAAGTAAACAAAACTAAGTGGCGGGAGGGGTTTTGTTTCCTCCGGTGTTTCCGACGTGCCACACCACATCGTGTGTGGGTCCGATGTCATCGGACGCGGAGGCAAGGAGCAATAGGAGCAGCTTCCGAGTGCGCGCTGGGGCTGCTCCGCGCGGGTTGAACGGCCGAGGCCTTCAGTGTCTCGAGTGGCGGCGGCGGCGGCGGCGGCGGCGCTGCTGCTCCCACGCCCAAGGAGAGCGGCCGTGAGGGCGAGCGGCGCCGCCTCCGCCTCCGCCGCCGTTTCGTAACGCGTTCCCCGCCCACCCACGCCCCTTATCTCGCCTTGAGTGCGGCTTCGTCGCTAAATGCTCTATATAAGCATTTATAGTATTTAGAATAGCATTAGGACATTTCAAAATAAACGAATCCCGCGAGGTCGAAGACACTACACTCATTATGGGAGATGAGTAAAGCTAGGACGATCCGGAGTTCATATGGTAAAGGAGTGTAAAAATCTAGGTAAAATATGGTGCATTTTTAGTTTAATGTTGAACTCTACATAAGCTCGTGCATCAGTAATTTATTTCTCATTCGCATCATTGTTTGCTAATCTGTCTGGAATGTAATAGCCTTTCGGTATTACCAAACACACTACCTATAGGGGGCTAAAAATATACTTTTTCACATTCTCTCAAATCTTCATTCCCCTAATACTAGACTTGTTTGGCATTATAGCAGGTGGGTTAAACATGGTCCTACATACAAATTTTCATTTAAAAAATTTGTAACGGTGGTTGAGAAAAGTATTTACGCTTTTCAGAAAGTATGTAATTTTGAATACAGTTTCTCAGAAAAAATGTATCTGTACTATGTTGTTGAAAAAATACGCGAATGTCGTTATTTTGAAATATCTCGGTCGTTAATTTTTACAATATTTTTACAATACATGGAAGGTTTTCAAACAGTCATGCATTTGTGTGAACAAATAGTTAAAATAATTTATCGTGACGTTTCTCGAAAACTCAAGCTTTCTGTGTAAATGAGCTCTAAATTGCAACTTTTTAGAAATGCTAATTTTTCTGTCCATTTGCAGAAATGCGCATTACAATTTTTCGACAAACATTTGAATGTAGGAAAAGTTTTGACTCCATCATAACCAGCACTACAGTGCGGGCTTTTACTTTCCCAACAACAGATTTCCAACTATTTCGATCTACAGCTGTTAGTCAGGTCACACGTTCATTGTCTGCCGATCTTTCACTTCATCCCTCCATATATTTCTTGGTCTTCCTGAGCCCCGTCTTCTGTCCATTCTAGCTTTATATAGTTTTAGGCGTTCGTCCATCTTCCATTCTTTCGATGTGCTCCCAAGCAACTTATTCTTTGGGATTTTCGGGTTTACATTTTTTCCCCTCAATATCTTCAAGTTTCAGTATTTCATAAATTTGTCTGATAGTTCTAAACTTCCATCTCCTTCATCGTGTAATGCGCCAGAATTTCTTATAACTTTTCAGTCAAATATTCGGTGTGTATTACAGTAATCGGCTGTAATATTCCATGTTTGTATACTATTCTTATAGTTATATTTCTATCCTGCCATTAGGGGAATGAAAAAATGAAAAAAGGTCGTATAGGCATCAACAGACGGCAGCTGGGAAGAGGGTGGAGCAAAACGGATAAGCCAACCCACACAACAGAAATTAAAAAAACTAAAGAGTACGATGAAATCTGTACCAGTCTGTAGCGCCACTAGTTTAACGGGACAATATTGTAATAAACAATACTGTTGGCAATGGCGACTCATAGTTATTTCATTGTAAATGCCAACGAAAACTCCTCACAATACCAATATTAACGGGACTAGCTTTCGGCTTTTCCCGACTGGCCACCCCGGCTGCCCAATGTCAACAACTAAGGCAATTTTCCGTTGCAGTCTTGCCGTACTAGTGCTCGTCTGGGTTAATATTATCACCATGAGCACCACTTGTACCCCAAACCTCATTTCGAAATCGCCCTTGACCCAATATCAGTCTAGATTTAGCATAAACGCCTTGAGGTAAACCGTGGGTCCGTGTTATAGTTTGTACTACCTTTTTTGGGGGGGATGAAGGACCCGTTTACTTATACTTATAGTAGCACTCTCTCATCGGAGTGAATAGACCCACTGTGTTCCGCAACCTAAGTTACTAGCGAAGAACATATGTTTAGAAGTGATTCATAGAACTGTGCCCCCACCCTCTTCCATTCAGACAATTGAAAAGATCGTACTCGGAAGTCGAACCCGTTGCCCTTGTCTGTGTCACACCTGCGCCCCTCCCTCCCCGTCGGCCTCTCAAAAGCAACGTTTTGAAATTGATGAAGGACGAAAATTTTAATTGCGGAATTAGAAAACGGCACTAAAGATGAATTAGGCTATTTTAAGTACAAAAAATGTAATTGCACGATTCATAAAAATGAAATACTAGTGACCTTTATAGAGGCGTATTTAGTTTCAAAACGTAGTACACGAGTTGAAGAGTATCTAACCTACGAGAAGTTGGTGGGATGACAGTACTCGTCGTGTGTTCTACAGGTGAAATGTGTGTTGCAGTTACGCCATCGCGGACACGGCGTACCGGTCGCTGACGGACGAGAACCGGCCGCAATGCATCCTCATCTCAGGTGAGAGCTGCAGCTGCACGGCGCTCACGCACATCCTTCCTCCTCTGCAAACGATCTCTGAACATTCGGACTATTTAAAGTAGGAAGTTTCAATGCGCCAAAATTAAGGGGTAATAGGTTATTTTGTAGGAAGGGGTGAGGTAGCGTCCATACAAGTGGTGTAGTCGCTGTTCAGCCCCCCCTAGCACGAAGAAATTGTTTGATCTTGGCGTAAGTAATTGCGTACATTTCTTATATCACTTTTCAGTGAGTTTTGATACATTTTACCTTTCTCTTTTTTAAAAGTATAAACATGTTTAAATTAATATTTGTATCCATTTTTAAATTTATCACGTTCAAGATTACTTTCTACTGTCAGAAAATAGTTTTATATATTTACAGTGCGTTGTTCGATAATTAATTTGGATATCAAAAGTTGCACGTGGAAGTATTTAAAGGCCTAAAATAATAATTTCGGGATTGTTTATTTTTTATTGAATGTTCTATAATAAAAAAAGCGAATGAATGATACCACTTCTCAATCTATTTGGTGAGTACACCTTTTCTGGCGCCCTTAATAATTTGGATCCACATTCGAAAAAGTAAACATAAAGTAAAAACGATGATTAGATATGGAATCCCGTTGCGACCTTATTAAAAGATCAACCATATGTTATTACGTAATGTCCAAAAATCAAACTAAACAGTTGTCGCAAACTTATGAAGCTTCGAAGCGACCGTATCGTTTTTAAATCCACCTGTGACTTACCAAAAGAAACCAGGTGGGATTTGTTTTTCAATCTTACATTTGTGTATTGCCTTTAACATATATTTTACTTTCTCACTAACGCTTAAGCGGTAGAGCGAAGGTTATGAAATGTTGCGCGAAAAAACCGCGAATATTCGGCAGAAAAACTTTCAAGGACCTGGCAACGAAAAAGTGGATAAATCCAGATGATAAAGAAGATATAGAAGAAAAAAAGCACCTCTAACGTGTAGCCAGAATGCAGGTTTTGTGGGTCCTTGATACTAAAAAAATTGATTTGATTGATTAATCGTCTGTCCATTAGTACCGAGCTTCGTTACGACTCCACTTTTTGCTATTGCAGCCACGCCCCCCCCCCTCCATTAGATAAGTGTCACCCTAGCCTTCTAGATTGTGACCTTGAAATGCCACTTTGTTTAAATCGGAGTATATGACAACCCGTGACGCCGAAGAGTTTTTGGCAGACGTACTGTAGGTTCTTAATTTTCCGTTTCTCTTTCGGAGGTCAAGTTAAGTTTTATGCTTGCATTTCTGAGCAAAAAACTGAAAAGTAATGTGATTTCGGTGCACAGGTGAGTCTGGCAGCGGGAAGACGGAGGCGTCCAAGAAGGTGCTGGAGTTCGTGGCGGAGGCGTCGGGTCACACGAGCACCGTCGACAACGTCAAAGACAAGCTGCTGCAGAGCAACCCGCTGCTGGAGGCCTTCGGCAACGCCAAGACCAACCGCAAGTGACAAGTCCCGAGTCGCTTCGGGAGTACAATGGGACATCGCCGTTCTCACTTCCAGGCTACCTTTCGCCAAAGCATGACGGCCAGATTAAAAGAAAAAAGTCAGTACTGATGCACTAATTGATCGGAGCGACAAAATGCCCGAGGGCCTTTTTCGTCGGCCTGATATCAATTTAAGAACCACTTAATTGCTCAGTTAATCTAAATAATCAAGCCCAACTGAGAGTTACAAAGTAATAATTAGATTTGGATCAACGTAGGACGCCTCCCTCAAACAAAAGCGTGGGCCACAGTTACGTGGTCGAATGTCATGATGGCCGGTATTTCTACTGGCAGAGATGTTTGGGGCAGTGCCATTACCTTCTCGTTATTATTTTGTGTATGATCACCTTTGCCAAGCCGCTGCCAACTGCTGAAGCATATAAAGGAAAGCTAACGATAATTTTACCGAACCAATTTATAGGCTTGTTATGCTATGTTGCTTGTTATAGCTTGTTATTGCTAGGAGCGGGGAAGCGAGGAAACTTTACTGGGTCGGAGAGGACCGTCGTCGTGGGAAATCAATAAAATTTTACATAATGTAAAATTTTATACTTACATAAATGTAAACTTCCGTTATCTGTGCACGCTGTTCTAAAAGATTTCAATGAGGAAAATATAGTTCTCAAATTATTCATTCTTCCATGTGGTCGCGACAAGAAGTATCTTCCTTCACGAAGGAATGAACCCCAAAATGATGAGGATAAGAAACCCAAAAAATCATAGCTTGATTTTGTGCCTTTGAAAAATATATTTTATTTGTAGATCGGAACGAAGATTTTGTTAACCAATTATTTTCCCAAAACGCTCATTTAACTGTATTCAGAATTCAACTTGTATATGGTTTAGGGCTGGGATTCCAGAATCAATGAAACGTGCACAGAATAAACTTCTCCCCATAGCATGTCACACCCAGTTTTGATCTTTTTTGTCGTGAAATGTATAAAAAAATAAAGCCTTTCCTTGCGGGTCGTAAAACAATTTTCCGAACTCGGGTCACAAAAAGGGAAAATCAAGGACCGAACGTCGTGAATAAATAAAATATTTTAATGCTTAAGACGTCGGGGCCCCTTCCAAAATTTTCAGGGGCCTCGACCGTGCACGCACGCAACTTCCTCTTAATTTCTTCCCTTTCCCGTACTATTGATTCCTGACCAAACATGAATGTGCACTCCCACCCTGCGAAAGCATCAGGAGGATTCGTGAAACGTAACTGCACGTTATCTGAAACCAATGTCCCTGCGAGATAGCAACTCTAGATATCATTGTGTGAGTAATTTTTTATTTTATTTTCTGTTTGATCAACGATTTTGTCATTCAAAGGAGTTAATTCTTTGCACAGACGCACGCTGCATTTTTTTGGGAAGGGGAGTACAGTTAAGTTTTCAGCGGATTTGGTAGTTTCGTATTAAAATTATTTCATTTATGTTGGATATAAAATGATTTTATTTGTTAATATTTGTTGTTATTGTCAATGTTTAAACATCAACAATTAGGGCCAGTGGAAATTCGTGCGATTCAATCTCACGGGAAGTTCATTGCTGAATCTTATTATACCCCTGTTAACGACCACTCTTTATAGCAATTTTCTTAATATATAATTAAGTTATAATAATGTTGTTGTAAAATTTCTCTGTTAGTTGAAATAAGAAATAAAATGAAAGTGCAAACAACCTTGAACGAGACGATCGAAATGAAACAACTAA